TGTAGGTCTTCATTAGTGACAAAAGATCAGCATTAGACACATCTTCTCCCACCGTATCTTCAACCGTATCTTCATCCATATCCTCATTAGGATTCTTTTCGTTGTCGGACATGTCTACACTGTAGTAGTAATCAACGTGGTCACCGCCTTACCTCGATAACTGAAAAAACGTGATCCTTTTCTTATATACTACCCGCGAAATCCAAACCGGTTCTTACCCTAGGTACTACGCGACTAAAAATAACTACGCGTAGAGCACATAAATATATCTACGTGTGATACGGGCTTAGCTATGCGATACAGGGTAGATGTATTTAATACTAAATATACGATAATAACTCATATTATATCCCATATTTGAGCTGTTACTTTTGTATAATCGATATTGTAAATGTTTATTATGTTAATGATTGTACTGATTTTGCCAATAATTGGTCCTCTGTTGGAGATAAAACTGACCTTATATCTTATCTGTAACTCGGCAAATATGTTAACACTAAAACGAATTTGTCTTAGTAAATAAAAAAAGGTGTACTTAGTAATAAAATGTGAATGTTTTATTGCAGGTCTTCAACATAAGACATTGCCCAATAAAATATTTGGAAAGCAACAGTATACAAATAAACGTTTTAGACAGCTGCAAAGTTCTTGACGTAATTTAAAATTCAAAATCACGAACATAAGATGCATTTTTTGAGGGCATGCATTGTGACGTCAATTCACGCCATACATATAGGCCTTATTTGTTTGAAAATATTAAATATGTTTATCCTTATAATTTTTTCTTCAAACTATTTTTTAAATATACTAAATTTCATCTTATTTTGATCTAAATGTCATCGCATATTATAGAAATTCTTTGAATTCGTAATATTGACGCCGTATGCAGTATAGAAGAACTAACAACACTCACCATTAAATAGCCTAAAACTTTTCAATAATTTTCAAACAAGATTTTTCGTTCTCAATATGTTAATCATGTTGTGGAAACAATTAACGTCAGTACAAATTCAGCATACAAATGCAAGCTATAAATAAACTTTGCGCTTCTTTCGGTTTATACCGTCTTCAATTTCTAAAATTAAATGCAGTCGTATGCTGTTTGTCGGCAAATACAAATAATCGTTCTATTATCATTATGTATGATACTTTAAAAAAATATCGTACTAGTGGTCAAAGTTGGTCCCAACCAGCCTTAGATTCAACCAAATATTTTTCTCCAACTAAAAACGAAGTTTCTCAAGTTTCCCGTCATTGATTCTTATTTAGTTACCATTTTGACGTTTCCGCCAGGTTATCATGCAGGGTAAAAAAAATTAACGTGATTTCATGATTTTGTTTCAAATATGAGTATTTTTACTATTTCTCACTTTATAAGATCGGTATGCTTAAATCCGTTGCTTCAGAAACCTGTAATTTCGAAAAGCTTAAAAAATATGGATTGCTGTTTACTTTACATTTCAAAGTTCAAATATCTGTCCTCGAAAGATAGGCAAATTTTCGAATTGAAGTTTGCTGATTTCATATTTTCAGCCATTTTACACAATGATTGTGAGATAATATTATGAAAATTACCTTTTCTTGAAAACAAATGTTTGTATTAACGTAAAACATTATACTGCTCAGCATTGACAGCAAGCAGCCAAACCATCAGACTACCAATTTTTGTTACAAATTTCTGACTTCACATTTCGAATTCAGTTTTAAGAAAAGTGCATAAGGATTATGATTTTTTTGACTTATTAATTTGAAACCACGATATTCATCATATCCCAAATTATTATTTATATCATTTGTGATCAAATAAGAAGAAAAGATCCAAATCCGATATAGGATATAACGTTATACTCCAATGGTGACAAAGAGTCAGGATATTTAAACTTTTGTCTGGCCATGGTCAAATCAAGTCGTGAATAAATTTTGGCATTTGATTGTCCTATAGCATCAAATACATCATCTAAACGATGCAGCGGATGTTGCTGAAGAATTGATTGTTTGTTAAGTGAACGAAAATCAATGCATAGTCGCCAGGTGTTATCTTTTTTCTTAACAAGCACGATTGGTGAACTATATTCGCTAATTGATGGCTCTATTATATCATATTTAAGAAGTTCCTCAACTTGTCTTTGAATTTCTTGTTTAGTTGCTGGCGATGTCCGATAAGGACGAGATTTTACGGGCGGGGCATTTCCGGTGTTAATATTATAGACATCAGTTTTCCCTAATTCTTTTAAATTGGTTGCAAAGACATTCCTATTTTGGTTTAAAAATATAGTCAATTTTTGTTTTTGTTGATCTGTTAAATCAGCTTGTGATAAATCAAATTGAATATCTGTTTGATTTGAATTAGTTTGTACATAATTTATAGATTTAACCGTGGATTTATTTGTAGAATTGTCATCGTCTAAAGTAAATATATTACCTGTATCTACATCATTAATAGTAGATAAAATCAAACCGGACTTTAAAGTTATGACCTCATTTGTGGGATTTAAGATTTGTAGGTAACATTTGTTGTCACGATTTTTGATTAGACATCTAGCTGTTAGGAAATTGTACTTTAAAATTTTTGAGGGGTTCTAATAAGTAATTTTGATGCGGCAAAGCGTGAGACAATCTAACACAAACATTCATAATTGTATTTGGAGGAATGGTCGATTTCCTATAAACCCTAGCAAAACCTGGTGTTACTCTTATTACATTGATTGTAACTGAATCTTTAATAAAAGATAATTTATTAGTGTTCCAGTTTAAACAAACACTTTTTTCTTTGCAAAAATCTGTTCCTAATATCATAGAATGTCTTAAAGCTGGTATAATATAAAAATTTTGAGAAAGGACTACTCCACTTATTTCAAAATTTAATTCAATTTGACCTTTTACTGGGTAAGTAGCTCCACCTGCTCCAACTATTTTTTTAATATCTGAATGTAATAAACGATTGCTTGCAAATTTTGTTTTCAAGAATGTTTTTTCATTGATAGCAGATATTGTTGAACCAGTGTCCAGAAGTGCTTTAATTTTAATACCGCCAAAATTTACTGGAATAAGACATTGATGCATATCTGTAACAAATTGTTTTGATTTCGGATTTGAGTTTTCACGATTTGAACAATTGTTTTTAACCTTGTGCCATGGCGGTCGAGTAACATAAAACTTTCAGGTCAGGCCGGGTACATTGAAATAACGGATAATTAAGAGCAAAATAATCCAATAATGTGTAGTCTTGTTGTTAAAGAAATATACAAGTAAATTCACTAATCTATGATTTATTAAAATTCCATTCCAGGAAATTATTTACATTATATACAGTTTACAAAAATGCATAGTTCAAAGATTCATTGGTACATCACTTTCACACGGTTTCACAAACGGATTTCATTACATTCCGTATAAAAATAAACAACAGTGTCCAATACTGTGCACACATAAAAAACCACGCATAGTGTCCAATACTATGCGGACAAAACCACGCAACAGTGTCCAATACTGTGCGGACAAAAACCACGCATCAGTGTCCAATACTGAGCGGACAAAAACCACGCAACAGTGTCCAATACTGTGCGGACAAAATATTAAGAAATAATAGTAATTCCGAATCTATCAGTGATCTGCCAAGATGTACCTAGAATAACAAAATCCTTTTTAACGTTTCATAATGTATAGTTCCTTTCTCACCTTCAATTTCTCCCAAAACTGAAACAGAGGGCCCTTATATACATATTGCCACCAAAAATGCACCAACTATGCACCAAGAATTTGACCTAAATTCTACTTGTTTATCTGACCTAAATTGCCACCAAATATGCACCAAAAATGCACCAACCTATTTATACATAATAAAATACTACTCTAACTAACACATGCTAAAAGGCTATGACCTCTATGAAATTGGATACATTACACGCTACTGATAACTATGATACAAAAATAAAATGTTAAAAGAATGAAATAAATGACTTTAACAGATAAGAGAAATATTGTCTTATTTACACTCTATCACTTGTTTAACTTTGTATACCTGTCCAAAGTAGAAATTCGAACAGGCCTGGATTGCTATTGTGTTTGCATTCTTCTAGTAGATAGACAAGCTTTAGAAAAATGGCCCATTTTGTTACAAAGATGGCAAATGACACCGTTGACGGGGCATTGGGCCCTATTATGAGAAAACCATTGCAGTACAAACATCTACGAAATGATGTTTGCGATTGATTTTGATATCGAATCGATTGTCGAAAATTTTGATTGGCCGGTTGACGAGGATGCATCCTATTGAAATTTTGACGTGGCTGCTGATTTTGTGGTGCCCTATACCTATTTGATTGATACATAGTATGATATGGTGCTCTTGGGGTATAATAAACTGGCTGTTGTACATAAACAGGTTGTTGAGAAGGTTGATAGGACTGATTTTGGGTAGTAACTGGAATTGTACTATTCACATTAATATGTTTCCCTTAATGAATGAATTTCGTCTAAAACAGTTTGATTCATGGAATTTACAGAATTTACCATCGAATCAATAGCTTTTTCTGCCAAATTTGCGGCATGCCTAAATTCTTAAATATTTTTAGGTTCTTTTGTCATGACGATTGTTTTCAAATCAGCCTTTAAACCATTCATTGCTACGGCTAGCAATATATCATCCGATATATTTCTGTTAATAGCCAATTTTAATAACCTAGATAAGAAATCAAGTACAGACTCATTTCTTCCCTGATGTGTTTGTAAGATTGTAATGTCCAAAAGATGTTGTTTATCTTTAAAACGATCTTTAAAAGCAGCGATTAAAAAATCAAAATGCTGTTTCTTTGCATCAGACACCGTGTCATACCAAATTTTGGCATGACCTTCCAAATGAAAAGGAAATGACTCTGCACTCTTTTTCTTTGACAAATCATAAAAACTACGATATTGATTAAAATTAGTTAACCAAGTTCCAGGATTTTGAGTATTGTCACCTTTAAATTTTTCAATTTTCAAAATTGAAGACATTAAAAATGTTCGTAGAAGGTTGCACTGTCCTACCTGATGAATTGGTTGATATTGTCGTTGATATTGTTCCTGGTATTGTTGTGGTTGTTGCTCCTGCTGTAGCAGCTGTCGTTGTGACTGGAACAATTGTTGTTGACACTACTGTTGATGTTGACACTACTGTTGATGTTGACACTACTGTTGTTGTTGACACTACTGTTGATGTTGACACTACTGTTGATGTTGACACTACTGTTGATGTTGTAGATGTTACAGTTGGTGCACTTGTAGCCGTTGTAGCAATGGAAGCTGTAGCTAGTGTTGATGTTGGTAACTTAGGATACAATGACGCAAATTGCTGTGGCGTTTGTAAGAGCGGATTTACTGCAACAGGTGCCGGTTTCTTAGATAATGACGCAGGTATAACTGGTTTTTGTACGATGGATGGTCTCAATGGTCTTATAGATGTTGGAAGCGTAGGTTTTGCCCACGGTGTTTCAAAAGGATTGAACTGTGGATGGATAGGCGACAACTGGTGAAATGGCTGGTCGTCCACGTAAGGAATGGTGGTGTCGTTATCACAGTCGTCGGGTGTTTGACTTTTTTTCTGAAAGATGACGTGATGATTAGAAAAGATGTCTAAACCTTCGAAAGCGGATTCTAGTTTGTTGTGGATCTGTTGTTTACAGTTGTCAGGTGTCTTTCCTGGTTTAGTTGTTTTCTTGTTGCTAAACATGGTCCTCTACCATTATATTGTGTTGATGTTTTGTTGTTATTTTGTGACCCGACAATTGTAAAGCTCTGTGGCACAATCTAGGGGGAGGCTCACGGTAGAAGGCCGGAACCAACAACAGGAAAGAAAACCAAACTAGAATATCAAGAAACTCGCTATTAATATTATAGCGGCTTGATCAGTTTATATACTAATTTCTGAATGTCCTAGTAACATATTTTATATAAAATATTTTACACAGTAGATCTTACATACATATAAAACTAATAAACTGCATGAAATAAAATGAATTGCATTTTTCTATTACAATATACGCACTGATTTTTTTAAACTAAATTTCTTGAATTTTCCCCTTTTTCGTAAGGGTATAAATTATACACACTAAAATAATTTATTTTACAGATTTCAAGGCAACCAAGATCAGAAAGCAGTAAACAAATAATTAAAAACATAGTTACCTTATTTTGTACGCACATGAACTATGCTATAAACCCAAATTAACTATACTTTAATTTTATAAAAATTGATGGAAATCGTGTTTATTATTGAAGTAGACTCATAAATCTTACGAACTTTCATTTAAAAGCTTAGATACAATAGCATTTTTCAAGGGAAAAAAAAAAAAATTGTACAGAAAATTTTACATTTAAAAAAAATTACCCATACACCTATTCACATTTCTATATATCATTATAAAGCAAAAAGTCGTATTCAAGACAAGACCAGAACCATAACACGAGTTATAATAACAATGACGAATATGCCGTAGTACCTTTTGTCCTGCATATAACTTTTTCTAAAAGTATTTATATATATACTTCTGTGTTTGTCCCCCTTATTTGGCAGATTCCCACATTTTCCACATTGTGCATTTGAACCTCTCGTCTTTTTATAATTAACCTATCTATATAAATAATTAATTCACTGAATTATAGATAATCAATTCTGTCGAGTTGACTCGTAGTCAATGATATATCATATTATTTCTTTTATAGATTGTTTCCATAGATACTAAATATAACCGTATAGCGATCGATATTAGAATTGTAACATGTTGGAAAAATATATATATATTATAACGTTGATGTTTTTTGTTTAATTGCATCCTTTTTTTAATTTCAGTACACCAAAAATGTTGCAGACAATAACCAAAAAGACCTAAGTATTTGCTAAACTGACAAAAAATATGGATTTGAAGAGGAAATATGCCATAGGTGCTGTGTCATTAGTTTTAATTATTGCATGGATTTTAATTCCAAACAATATTCTACAGTCATTTAGTGATAAAACAACAGTTGTTTTGAATGTTTTTGGAAGCCGTCAGAATGCGCCGAAATTACCACTACATATACCTCCTACGGACCCTTTGGAACTTATTCGTAGAGACTGTGGTCAGCTGTGTGATACATCAAGAAAAGGATCACCAGGACCATATTTTGATCATATCAATGCAGATATTGACTGTCAAGCGATATTCAAAAACAAATATGTTGACCGTGGTCATGAGCTACCACATGCACCAAAAGCAATTCCAAAAAATCTGTTAATTGAATATACCATGAACAATCGTATACCAGTGAAGTATTGGTATTTTGATAATCAGTATTTAGGTAAAACAGCTAGACAACCTGTTTGGACAGAGAAAGGTATTGAAGACTGGATAATCAGTGCAAAGCAAGGTAGATTAGGCGGTAACTATGGTGCGGGAGAAACAAATGCTCTTAGAGATGCTTTGAAACATGCACCGGGAATTGTTGATGGTAGAGTTATGGTGATAGGTTCCGAAACTCCATGGGTTGAGGCATGCGTGTTAGAAGCAGGTGCGCGTGAAGTATTTACATTGGAGTATGGTCGTATTTCATCTCAACATCCAAAAGTGAAAACTATAGTTCCGTTTGATTTTCGTATGCGTTATCTAAACAATACTTTAGGAACATTTGATGCCATTGTTACTTTTAGTTCTATAGAACACTCAGGATTAGGGAGATATGGTGACGCATTGAATCCGTGGGGTGACATTATTGCCATTGCACGAGCATGGTGTGTAACAAAACCTGGAGGCTCACTTACTATAGGTGTACAGTATAATTATGATCATGAATTCCTTAGATTTAACGCTGACAGATGGTATGGTAAAATAAGATATCCATATTTAACTACAAATTGGAAACAACACTACATAGGCAAAGGTTCGCAGCGTGTTCATGTTTTTACGAAATAAAAATATGTTTTTTTTAAGTAATTCATTTTATTCATTTATACGTTGTATATAGAGCCAATATATATAGATAACATCCATGTAAACTATTCAATCCTTCGAATAAAATTTCCCTAAAAGGTTATCAATATTGCACTGTCGTAACTAAAGATCTTTGAATATAGTCGTTATCGATACTAAAATTGATTTTGTTTTGAATAAATTTAAACATAACTAAATATGTATTGTTCTACAGTTCTCAACACTTATGGTCATACATCCTGTCTATTTATAATTGTACTTTGGCAACGCACAAGGTCATGCTATACTGTTTATGACGTTTTTACACTAAATCCGTTGGATGTGACTGATTGATATTTTTGTCTGAGAGACCGCATAGAGGAATGTAAATATAATTCGTATGACTGCAAGTTGTGACAAAATACCGACAAAGTACATTCCGAGTCGTACTTATTTGTTGAATCTAATGAATTTATCTGCCAACACGTAGGTTGTAAGTTCGAACTCTGCACATGGCGGTAAACACCAACAATCAATCAATCAATTGAATTTCAGGTTTACAGGAACATTTTACAAAATGATGTTATGATGCTGCATAGTGTATATAAAAATAAGGTAGGATTGGAAATGAGACAACTTTCCAGTAGAGTTCAAATGACGTGGATGCAAACGTCACTGAAAGGCCTTCAACAATGAGAAAACCCATACCGTGTATTCGGCTATAAAAGGCCAAGACATAACAAATGTGAAACATTTCAAACGAGAAAACTAACGGCATAATTTATAACAATTCAATTTACGAAAAACAAATACGACAGACATGAAGCAAAGAAAACCACTGAATTACAGGCTACTGACTTGGGATATAAAGAATGTGGCGGGGTTACACATGTTTGTGAAGCCCAATTAACCCCTCCCCTGGGACAGTGATGTAGCAGTACACAATGGTCAAATCAGTTGCAAATGGCTTAGCTCAATGGATACAGAGAAATAATTACGAGTTTTCTCGTTTGAATTGTTTTACATTAGTCGTTTCGGGGCCTTTTATAGCTGACTATTACTTACTTACTGCCCTTGTACGTCATTGGCGTGTAGGGCAGTAACGACCGGTCAGTGTCGGTCGTTGGCAGTTTTCTGTAGTGTGCCCCATGTCTGTTGATGTTTACTAGCCTCTGCCTCTACAGTTCTTCTTCATGTCATTTTGGGTCTTCCTCTCTTTCTTTTACCTGACTATGCGGTATGTGTATTGTTCATTGTCGAAGGCTGTACAGTGACACACAGTTGTTTACTTCTGTCATTTTGTCTCTGGTTCAGGGTTGCCTCATTAGCAAGCATACCACATCTCCTTAATTTTATATTAAATATAAAAGATCTTAAAACAATAGACACAATACACCAATACAAGAGTACTCGGAGTTACTGAACGCTAGTTCAAGGCCAACTAACACCAATACATAAATCATGTTTTCCCGTACTTAAGGTATCAATCAGTACGTATCAATCATGTTCTCCAGTACATCAGCATGATCAGTACGTATCCATAATTTAGTTTTTAAAATTTTATTTATTTAGGGCATGTTATGCCTTAAAACTATTCCAAATACACAGTTTTCTTTGTACTACAGAGTAAATTTTGAATGTGTAAACACAGCCCTTTAGAAAGGCCCATATACTCCTTTCATAACAGTTTCTCTTTCTTCATTTATAATAAAGTTGAGAGTGAATGTGTATTCAAGGCGAGAACATATCTTGATATGAAAGAAATATGAAATTTGAGCTAGCTTACAAGGTAACACAAGGCACACAGAGTATTATGTTCTTACTCTGATATTTGCACTGCTTAACGGAGAAGCAGCAAATGCATATGTCAGTATATGACCGAGGATCAAACCAAAGATCTCGTGCAGATGAACAAACAACCACCGAGTCGGTGTGGTTATGACTAAACTCTTGTCAAATATCAATGTCAATCAATATTGCGTGAATTTTTCAGGCTCGTATACTTCAATTAGGTAGGACCAACTTCTTCTGCATTTTTTCCGCTCACATGGAATTTGAATACTGTCCTTGGTGCTTCCTTCTTCATGTGGTGTAAACTTATCTCGTGAGCCTAGGAAGGGTGGTATAATCAGCTTTGCTCCTCTTGACACCAGTAGGTCATCAATTGAAAATCCTCTGTCAGCCATGATGTCATCACCATTGTTTAATGTATTTAAAAATCCAGATTTTTTAACAATTTCCTTATCAGAAATGGAACCCTCAAAAGCATCAGAAATATATACAATTGTCCCATTAGGTGCAATACCAACCAGAAACTTGTAAATTGTATGTCCCTTATAGGACGAATAGCAGTTTCCTTGTTTACCAAAGTTTCTTTGCTGTTGAACAAAATACTTCAGTGCAATCAATTATACACCTGATATTTTTGTATTTCTTGAATGACTATGTGAGATGTTTACAAATTTTGGACCGATCAGGAAACATTTTCATTCGAAAAGCACTTAAACGTATGTACAAACATTGTATCCAAGTTATCACTACACGGGATGCTGTGGTTTTGCTAACTCCGAACCTATAAGATAAGTCTTCCAATAATAGACCTTGCCTAATGTGGATTAATGTCAAAAATAATTCATTCATTGGTGTCATCTTCTGCTTTGGTCCTGGTCTCTATTTTAGGAGATCTGCCAGGTACATCACAGTCTTTGTTCCAGTATACTAGTTTGTTTACTGTTGGACCAAGATATCCCCACAAGCACATAAATTGTGGAACTGTAAGACCTGTATAGAATTTGAATTTAGCTGGATCTTCTTTCACATTTGACATCAAGATACATGTTTATATATTTCACTACAGTTTCATTTTCAGAGGTCTTTGCAAGTGCACTACCTTCTTGTTCATTTAATGTGCACCGAAGAAGCTCAATTTCAGACTGAAGTGAAACGTTTTGATTTTTTAGTACAGAATTTTCTATTCTGACCTCAAGGTCCAATCCAATATGTTTTCTGTTTGTGTAGTTTCTGTATTAATAGGTGGATTTACTTGAACAGCAAAATCCGTTTAGTTGGATTCCATTGTTAGAGACATTGTACTGGAACAAGCCATTGTAATTTCTGTGTCCGTAATTGGTAAATCCTGTCCGTATTCCCTCATCTCAGGCTTTAAGCATTTTCTTGTTTTTTTTGTGTGTTTTTCTGATACAGTTTTAGGAGTTGGTGGTTTTCTTCTCTTATCTAGCTATTGAATCTGAAATGGTAAATAAGATAATTTTTTAAATAAAAAAAGTGGAAAGAGGGGTAGGATTCATAGAGTTATTGAAATTAAAATAAGTCAATAAATAAAAATTAAAAAAAAACCTACATTATACATGATATAGAATACAATTTATCAAAAAGAAAAAAAACATTAATAGTATAAAATTTATTTAATTATTTTTTATAAATCACATGACAAATATAATGCATTTTGAATATATTATTTGTTATGCCTAATGATCAGAAAAAGTAAACAAAAAATGCTAGAATATATTTACATACATCACTTGGAGTAGTGGTGGCAGGAATTGGATCAGGGTCAGAATCTGTAGGACCTCTTCCTCCAACAAAATGTTTGCTGCATAAATAATTATCCTTTTTTACTCTGTCAGTTGTAAAACCTTCTCTTCCACATGCATTTATCCATCTTGTGCATTTTTCTCTATCCCTCCATGGCTTTGGAAATCTTATAAATTCCACTCCCTCCATGTAATCTTTGTGTGCATAACGTGAATCACTATTACAAGTACCATAACAGCAATGTTTCGTTGCCCCTTTCTTCCACAATTAAGGTTTTAATATCAACAGTTACTATTTTGTACTTCAGAGTTAGTTAAAACAAATAAAGTTATTGTTTGTATAGCATACTACTGTAGTGTATAAATGCATGTGGGAAATAAGTTTGTCCGCAAGTGTATGGCGTACGGAAAGGGTCAAAAGTAAAAAGAGGTGCATAAGCTATAAAATATAGCTTATGCTGCTTTGTAGCATAAGCTATATTTGACGTCCCAAAAGGGTCAATATATATTTGTCTGGTTATGCTGCATTTTTATCGCATATGCTATAACACAAACATTGACTATGCTATATTTTTAAATTGAAGCATATGCTGTACTATTTCAAACACATCATTAAAGGGTCAAAACTCGAAAGTAACATAGGCTGTATAATTTATTTTTATTAGACTGTATATCTTACTGTTGGAAGGCGTGTTTAACGAATCTAGTCAATTATCATCACTAAAGTCTCCGCCCTTTTTTATCAGTACTTATAGAAATGAAATGTATAATGCGATAATTTGAAAACAAAAAAAAACTTTTTTAATGACCAAGTCCGAGTTTATTGAAAAACAAATCATTTTTTAATATTATTACATTTTATATATTCATATGTTTTGCCTGGTATATTAGTGGATTTTATCACACTGGCACCGGGTAATTTTAAAACAAGTGGAATGGAAATTTACGCGGCATACATGAACAATAATTTTCTTATATCATCTCTGTCTCGGGTGATGTATTAATTATGTACCCAGCAGAGCCTTTTCGCTAACAAATATTCACATGTACGTCCCTGCCGTGGCAATTAAGGGCATATCCAATAGTTTATTTCTGACGGTGAGAATTTTTCCTTTTAAGATATATAGGCTATTTTTTACCTGCTTAAATCAAATATGTAATAAAAAATATACCTTCATGTGCTTCTTTTTGAGTAAAATGAGGTCAAAATTTCAGATATTTGCTCAAAATTCGGATTTGTGGACGTATTTTTCCTCCAGACAGATGTGCATAACTTTTTTGTTTTAAAAGATAAACAGATAAACACAAGCTGTTTTTTTGTAATATTATTTATAAGTTCTCTTTTATATAAGTATCCTATAAATTTATGAAATATATTGTTTAGAAATAACTAAAAGGACAAGCTAGGTACGATAAGCATCAGAGAACGGCCCCCGATTTCGATTCAAATTAAAAGTGATATGCCA